CGCAAGCCCGCCCCTCAGGGGGGCGGGCTTGCGAAGATCGCAAGTACGATCTGCCTGTCCCGGATGGGCAGATCGTACATTTTTTAAATTACTTTACAACCATCGCAAGACTAAGGTATTGCGATGGATGTAAAGTGTATGGCCACCTTAAGGCTGGACACACACCTTACAACCATCGCAAGACTTTTGTCTTGCGATGGTTGTAAGGTACTTTAAAAAAACGTACGATCTGCCTATCTTGGACAGGCAGATCGTACTTGCGACGATCGCAAGCCGCGCCCCCCTGAGGGGCAGGCTTCCGATGACCGCTATGCCGAACGGGCAGTGTGCGCTTGCGCACACCGGTCCGTCCGGCTTTTATCGTACGAACATGCTACACACCCGCCGAACATCGTACGATGCTCGGCGGGTTTTCGAACAGGTACTTTACAGTAGTAGAGGTCGCACGGCTTCCACACACCTTATGATAATCGTACGATCGCGGGATTTCCCGCGATTATGGTACGATCGCAAGGTGTGTGGGGACTTTAACTTTTGAGGTTTGATAGTTAATGGAGCTCCGAAACAATCTTGCTGGTTCCTGGATTGGACAGACTGGCTCCTGAATTCGCTATTCATTTCTCCACCCCTGGGGTAAATATTGATATACAGACACTTTTCATTTTGGGTTACGGTCCACTCTAATTACAATCTGCTACCGTAAACTGGAATTTGCAGTTTAAAAGAAATCTGCGAGTCAAGAATGTTGCTGGTGCTGAGCGAGCGTTTATTAAATCCTGAACTACGCACGCAAGTTTGGAGTAGCAAATAAAGTGTAAAGGAGTTTACTAGATGCAAACACAGCTTATGAACAGGCAGTATATGGAATTCTGAATCTGATAACAAAAGAATGTTCATCACGTCATTGTCACAAAGTTTTACAAAGATAGATAGAGATTTTTAGTACAGTGCGGGTTCATATTTTTAACAATGTTTTATTCCCATCTGTCCCCTTATTTTTTGTATGGGTACAACAGGAAAGTCACCCCTTGCCACCAAAACAGCCCTGACCCATGGAGACATGGACTCCACTTTTGGCAGTGGACAGGGGTCAGCATGGGCACTCTTGACCAGTCTGTAGCTAAGCAGCAATGAGCTTTGGCCGCCCATGACCCTGTTGCCGGTTCACCGGTTTTCCTTCCTTGACCACTGGAGACCGGGAACATCCCACAAGAGCTGCAGATTTGGAGCTGCTCTGACCCAGTCGTCTGGAAATCACAATTTTGGCCCTTGTCATAGTCGCTCAGATCCCTAAACTTGTCCATTTTCCTGCTGGGCACCGCACGTGGTGTGTACCCATGTCTTCCACATTGAGGGGTGCGACGTCGTTATCCTTACTGAAAGATTCCTGGGGAATGATGAGTATTCCTAATTTCAGGAGAAAATCCAGCCCAGTGCAAGAACATCTTCTCGGGAGATTCGGGATCTTCACTGTTGCGGCGGCGGACAACAATGGTAAGGTAAGTAAATAATCAGTTTTTCTTTACAGGAACATTTTTGAATCACCAGTAGGCTCATTTTTTTTACAAGGGACCCAATAAGCGGACCTTACAATTTTACTGCAAGGACTGCTTCTAGATGATACTCAAGTCAAATGGTTTTTAAGCTACTTAGAATGCTGATGTAATCACTAACAATGGATGCTGCCTCCTTGATGTTTAAAAGTTTTTAGTTTCAACCACTTCAAAGCGGACCTTTCCCCAGATCTTTAAAAACAACAAA